AAAAAAAAAAAAAAAAAAAAAAAAAAAAAAAAAAAAAAAAAAAACAACGAAAAAAACTATGTTATGCAGAAAAAAAAACTGAACAACTTTTGCCTCAGGGTCACATCGAAATTCTTTACCAACTTTAAATTAAAATTTTAAAATTAAAAAATAATTTTTATTTTTTTTATTTTTTTATTTCTTTTTGGCGCGGCCGGGCAAGTGGACCCGGGCCACTCTGGTAGCCTAGTGAGAAATCCATTTTTTCTCTCAAACCTTTTTCAAATTTTCTTGAAAAACACACTCATCGAATTAATTTTGAATAAATTTAATTTCGAAATATTTTTTTTGAAATTATTTTTGTTTTTGCGAATTCTATTTGGAAATTATCTTCGTCGCTAAATCAATTAATGTTACTCTACACTTGTAAATAGGAACCCGCCCTCGGACATGACACACACAGTCAGGAACTCTCAATGCGTAGCCGCCGCTGCTGCCACCGCCTCCACTTCATCTGCTGCTTACACCTCGTCCGCCGCTACCACGGCCTTCTCCCCCACCATGGCCCAATCATCCAGCATTGATATGTCCGGCATCCGCACCGACTCCGTCGACAGCATCGCCAGCAACCTCGCAGGCGAGCAAACACCAGCACCTGATGGCGCGACCGATCTCGCAACACTCCTCCACATGGTGACATCCGTCCACTCATCCATCGACGACATCAGAACATCGGTCTCCACCATCTGCGCTCGTGTGACCGCCATCGAAAATCAAACCCCTGCCATCCAGATCGTCACCACCATGTCCCCCTCCCCCACCTCGGGTGCGACCACCCTTCTTCCATCCTCTGCCTCCACATCCGCCGCCCTCTCCGCTAGTACGTCATCCACACCCCCGCCTTCATCCACCACCACCTCCACCATGGTCTCCCCACCACCCAAGACAACAACCCCCGCCGTCACACAGTCGTCGACCATTCGCCCCCACTCAAAACCTCTGTCGACTACATCCACTATCACTTCCACCCACCCCACCTATACCCAGATCACTTCTGCACCACACGCCCTGTACCCCGGTCTTCCACTACTTCCACCAAACGTGCTCATTCCCGCCAACCCGCTGACAATTTCACCCGGATTGACTCTTCCTCCCCTATGCTCGACTTCAATGCCCTCACGGCTACTGCCACCAAACTACACCAAGCCTTCTCCCTCCCAAACTGCATTCTGCACCACTCACCCAGCCCACCTCGAAAAGCTCACGCCGGAGGAGTGAACTTACCTTTAGGAGAAGGGTGGTTGTTTCAGATGCCGACGATTAGGCCATCAACAGACAAGCTGTCCAAATACCGCACAGCTCACACGTTAGGCACCTAGGTTTGCGGCCCCATAACCCGCCACTTCCGCATCCGTCACTCACGGTCCCTCCTCCACTTGAACACTGTCCCCATGATCACCACGAACCCGCCTCGACATTGATGACTAGTCCGCCGACCAACCCATCGGCGATGACCTCTATTCCACGGATGGCCCAGTTGGCATTGACAATTCGTTTGCCCCCCTCCCCACCCCACCCGGTGACGCACTTCCCACCGGATGATCCCCAGGCATCACCTGACGCCGTTCCCACTGGTACATGTTCCTCTACCCTTCTCCCGAATCCATCCTCCGTCACCTTCTCTGAGGTTGTTGAGGAACAATCCCGACATGATCGGCTTGTCAGATTAGGCATCGGACAACGTTGCCTCAAGGCCATTATCTCCACCGCCTACTCATGTCCGCTTCCAACTCAGTTTATAGCCGCCACCCTTGGTGCGCCTACAACCAAGTTTCGGGCCCTCCTTGACATTGGAGCTACCGCTAACTTAATCATTGACGCGCGTGTCTGAAAAGCCTGTCTCACCTCTATCGGTTACAACTCCCCAATTACCATTCGTCTAGGAGACAAAGACATCGCTGTCGTAGTAGACCGCACGGTTCCCGAGACCACCATGACTGTCGGGACCCTCCGCAGTCAGGCCTCATTCTATGTCATGCACTTGATGTGCGGCATCGTTTTGGGAACACCTAGGTTGGACCACTACATGCCATACGCGTTCCACCCCAGCTTCTTCCGCCTCACCAATCCCCCCGACACGCGCATCGACATCCCCTATTTCTCCCACCCTGCCTCCCAAAACTCCGTCACTCCCCACCAGGTTCTCCACATGGCCCGTCATAACCCCAACTCCATTTACTACTGCCTTGTCCTTGATCGCGAACGTCCCGAGGACTTGCTCCCTACGGACAAACCCGATCAAGCTCCCCCCTCCGACCCCGCCCTCACCTCCATCCTCAACGAGTTCAAAGACGTTTTTTCCCGAGGCCTTGCTTGCCAGATTACCCCCGGATCGTGGTGTCTCATACCATTGATCTGGAACCCGGCCACTCTCCGCCGTGCCGCCCTCCATACCAACTCTCCGTCCCGGTAGCCAAAGAAATGAAGTGCCAACTCAATGAACTCCTTGAAAAAGGATTCATTAAGCCAAGCTTCTACCCCTTCGGTACAAGTTGCCTTTTCGTAAAGAAAGGTGGAACCTTAGAACTAAGGATGTGCAGAGACTACTGTGGCTTGAATTTCAAGAACAAGTACCCCTACCTCGGATCTCTGAGCTTCTTGATCGCCTCTGTGGAGCCAAATATTTTACCAAGATTGACCTCCACAGCGTCTTCCACCAGATCCGAATCCGCGAGGAGGACACCCACAAGACTGCATTATGTTCTCGCTTCGGGCACTATGAGTTCCTCGTGATGTCCTTCGGACTCACCAACGCCCCCACCACGTTCCAATCCACCATGAATCACATATTCCACGACCTCCTCGAAGTCTGTGTCGTCGTCTACCTTGATGATATCCTTGTCTATAGCCCCACCTTGGAATCCCACCTTCAGCACCTTCGCCAAGTCCTCTCTATCCTCAAAGAGCAAAAATTATACTCCAAGCTCAACAAGTGTACCTTTGCTGCCTCTAGGGTAGAATACCTTGGCCACATCGTTTGTGCTGAAGGAATCCGCATGGACCCCTCAAAAGTCAACGTCCTCGTTGAGTACTCCCTGCCCAATACCCTACTCCAACTACGCTCATTCCTCGGCCTTGCCAACTATTACCGCCCCTTCATCTTCAACTTCTCTGACATCTCTTACCCACTCCATGAACTCACACGCAAGGACGAGCCCATCAATTGGAATGACTGCCGCCAAAACACCTTCCACTTCCTCAAACAAATCATCACCACGGCCCCATCCTCGAGATTGCTGACCATTCTCGACATTTCTACGTTACCACTGACGCATCCGACTTCGCTATTGGAGCTGTCCTCTCGCAACATTTTCCTCGCAACACCTCCGAAACCCCCTCCATCAAAGACTCCCGCACCCACCCCGAGGCTCCACCCGACAAATACCCTATTGCCTTTGCAAGCAAGAAGCTCTTTCCCGCGGAGGTGAACTTCCCCTCCAACGAGAAGGAAATCATTGCCGTGATTCACGCCCTGAAAGTTTGGCGCCCGTACCTCGACGGACAATACTTCAAGCCCGCTGGTTAGACTTTCTTGCCCAATTCACCATTCGCCACACCCTCGACAAAAGCAACCGCGTTGCCAGTGCCCTCTCTCGACGGCCCGACCACAAACGCACCTAGAAAGTCTACGTCACCATGACTCATATCCAACTCCTCCCATCACTCCACCACTGCTACACCCACAACTACCTCTCTTGCCCGGATTTCTCAACAATCTACAACAAACTTTGTGACCTTGACCCAGTCCCGACTACTCCCTTCACGACCAACTTCTTTACATCGACACCAAAGGCACTCGCCGACTTTGCATCCGCGACGCACGTGGCCTCCATACCCAGCTCTTGGCCGAACACCACGACGCCAAGACTGCGGGACACCTCGGCTTTCAGAAAACCTTCGACACCATCTCCTGGCTACTTCTACTGGCCTTCACTACTCCCCGACGCCAAAGCTTACATTCGCTTATGCCCCATATGTCAAGCCGTCAACCCTTCGAACCGGGCCTAACCCGGCAAGTTATAGTTGTTGCCTATTCCCTCTCACCATTGGCAGTCCATCTCTATGGACTTTGTGTGCGGTCTCCCCAAGATTGACCGCAACCATGCCTGCATCTACGTCACCGTATGTCGCTTGACCAAATGCACGCTCTTCGTCCCTTGCACTACTTCACACCACGCCAAAGACATTGCCACTCTCTTCTTTGATCATGTTGCACTCCATCACGGCCTCCTTGAGAATATCATCAGCGATCGTGATCCGCGGTTTCTCTTGCAATTCTGGAAACACCTTTTCAAAGCCTACGGAACCACACTCAAGTATAGCACTGCATTCCACCCTCAGACCGATGGACAAACTGAGAAGATAAACGATACTTTCCAAAGAATCCTGCGGAAGTATTGTCATCCACACCAACACGTCTGGGACTAGTTGCTCATAGCTGTCGAGATTGCCTATGACAACGTCGTTTGCCCTTTCAGTGACATGTCTCCGTTCTACCTCGATCTTGGCTACCATCCTTGCTTACCCTCCAACTTCTTGCTTCTTTCACAACTCAACCCCTCCACCCCTTGCCCTTCTCTCAATGAATGGGTAGCAGCAATGAACATACTCCTCAGAGAAGCCTCCGAAGTTGAACAAACGCAAGAACAACAAGCCAACAAGACCAACAAACATAAACGTGCCGTGTCATTCAAAGTAGGGGACAAAGTCTGCCTCTCTGCCAAATGCTTTGAACCCGATCATGGCTTGTCCAAGAAACTCCCGAACAAGTGGCTCAGACCCTTCCCCATCACTGAACAAACCTCCCACGTCAATTACAAGCTCCAACTCCCTGCTGATGTGAGTTGTGTCCACCCTGTCTTCCACGTAGAATACCTAAAAGAAATCCACATGGGAACCTCTTGCTAACCTTAAGAATGCCATGAAGCGTGTTCGCGCTTATAATCTCGCCCATCCTATATCCTAGCTACCCACTATGCCTAAACTTTGCCTAAACCTTGCCTAAACCCTGCCTCAAGCCTGCCTCCCTGCACGACACACATGCCCTGTACCCAACAAAACCCTTGCCCCTTGACCTCCCTCTGTCTGATCTGCTCTCGCCTCCGTCTCGCCCCGTTCGCCTATCTGTCCTCTGCCACGTCTCTGTCCCCCTTGTCGTCTCGCCCCGTTCGCCTATCTGTCCTCTGCCACGTCTCTGTCCCCCTTGTCCAAGTCCTACATGTGGCCTCTGCGCATCGTCGGCGATAACGGTGTCGAGCGCATCGGCTCCCGCCTTTTAGGCAAAGGCGAGAGACCTCCCTGCCATGTCACGCAGGAGTTGAACAAAACGACAAGAGACAACTTGGGAGCGACTCATAATAACTCCCGTGAACCGTCGAGACGAACGCGGTTCCACCTCTCCCTCGCCGCTCTAGTCGGGTGCGCCAGTTGTACATCCCGCGGTCCCCTACGACAGGATAGGTTTCCGTGGGGCATAAGTTTTCCTTCCCTAAGGGTCTGTCACCACCCTTAGGGGCGTATCCCTACCGAGTTATTGACCCACGTGCGAAAGTTTTAATATGCAGCCGCAGAGGTAGGTCAGCCGAGGGCGTTTGCTCATCTCGCTGCAGTATAGGAAACACTTGGTTAAACGTCGAGCGGACCCGAACGTTGTCCGTCCCTTAGGGCGCTGATCTCCTAAGTTCAGAGCGTACGTTGGTCGACTAGGACGGTCTGAACCAAGCGGTCTCAACCAAGCGTGAAACCCTTAGATACAATCCTAGTCCCTTGACAATCGTTCTGAAAACAACACAATTAAATTCATATGCCTTATATCGAAATTATCAGAGATCACGTCTTTGACTTGATGAGCCGGTTTGCCAAAGTTATCCTTCTCAATCTATATGACTGAAGAAACTATTGCACCGCCGCTCCTGAGACGGAGGTTCAATATTGACGACCGATTAGGAAAGACAACCTAATCTTTAACTTATTATCGGTCTATCGACACTTACTAATTCCTGCCAGGAGTATCTTCTGCAAATAAATTCCACTGCTATGATGCAAATCAACAAGTGATCTGGTTCCTGGTCGAAATTTGAACTCTCGATTTGACCACACTTCCGCTATCATATCCAATTTACTTCTAACATGCGTCTTTATGCATGTGATTACCCCTCAATGCATAAGCATGATAGTACAATCATCGGGGTAATCCAGATACTATCCATCTGGTGGGTCCTATTTAGGAAAGAATTTTTTTTTTTTTTTTTTTTTTTTACCCTTGTAGGATCACATAAATGTGACCCTACCATAAGGACAACTCACTGCGGTATCTAACTCAAAATGACGGGCCTAGCCAAGATAGAGTTGTCGGCGAGGCCTCAACCTTTATCCGGTCGAGTTGTAAGGGCTCCTCGTCGTCAAAAGTTAAGGTGGTAATGTGTCCACCCTGCTTGACCCGAACTGTTCGCGTACCATAGAGGGAAGCCATCCGTGAGGCCAATTTCCAAACTATGGCGCAAAACCGTTGTCGCATTCGAAAGAGGTGCCTAGTCGTGGTGTCCTTAATCCGGATAACGCCGTAGCGCTCTCCCGACACGGTAATTTTAACACTCACAATGACCCGAGAAAGGCATTGGAGGTTGCTCGCTCGATGAAAATACAAAGTATATCCATGAAATTCTTTCGAAATCCGAGCTACATTGGTACGAACATCCGTGCGCGAGTTAGGAAAAAATCCTAGCCCATCCCTGAGCAATCCAACAAAACCCATCCAACGCGTGGGCGCATCATCTCGAATAAGTAATAGCCGCTCCCCGCGCCGGATCAGCTCCTCGTCTATAGTGTCGCGAAGCAACAAATATCTTGACTGCTTGTCATGTGCACACCCGGAAGAGTTGCCTGTTAGAAAAGACGTTCCCAGATTTCACAAGCCTCGTTATCAAACGCGGTGACGTCAAAACGTTCAGAGCAAAAAATGTTAAATTTATTCGCTCGCACTTCTTTCACATGATGAAGGAGACGGAATGGTCCTTGCTGGTCATTCAGCCAAATTTCAAGCGGATTATAGACTAAGCGTCCTTTTCGTATCTTGCCGAAACGTGATCGTGTCGGCACTGCTATCCATTCTATGGCCGCCTCTTGCTTACTGAATAATCGAAGGATCACTGCTCCTGTGGTCATCTGAATGACAAAATAATGACTTTGTCAGAATAAATCCATATGCTAAACTCTCTTTCCCTCCTTGGACCGTGATTCTTGTGTCACGGTCCTACCACGAAGGTAGTGCCTACTTGCACTCCGTTAACACTATTCGAACATGAATTGGGCTTCTTTTGACACCAGTTCCCCATACGATGGTGGCGCCTAAGACGGCCATCCAAAAGAAGATATTGAATTCAGCCGTCCACCACTCGGAAGTATGAGAAACGGCTATTCTTACGATAGGACATCCTACCCTCAAGAAAGTGGTTTGGAATACCCCTCCTCCTCGTCCGAACACAT